ACCCAGTTGCTCTGCTGTGCCCAGGGGAGCACTTTTTTTTTTTTTTTGACATGGTGTTTTATTCTTGTTGCCCAGGCTGGAGTGCAATGGTGTGATCTTGGCTTACTGCAACCTCCAACTCCTGGGTTCAAGCAATTCTCCTGCCTCAGCCTCCCGAGTAGCTGGGATTACAGATGCCCACCACCAGGCCCAGCTAATTTTTTGAATTTTTAGTAGAGATGGGGTTTCACCATCTTGGCCAGGCTGGTCTTGAACTCATGACCTCAGGTGTTCCACCCACCTCAGCCTCCCAAAGTGCTGGGATTACAGGCATGAACCATTGTGCCTGGCCTGTTGAACCATTCTTATCAATTGATGTTGTTAAGAGCTAATAGGATTTAGTCCCTTTATCTCCTTTGATCCTTTGGTCTCCCATAGGAATTTTAGGATTTGTTTGTTGAGTTCCAAGGAAAACTCCGGGATTCCAATTGCAATTGCACGTGTTTAGAAATGAGTTGGGAGTGGGTTGGGAATTGGCATCTTTATACTATCAAATTTTCCTTTTGGTAGACTCTTAATTCAGTTTTCCTTTTATGGCATTTACTAATGTGTCAAATTTTTTGTCAGGAAGATCTTGTGCATTTTTTGTTGAATTTCTTCCTAGATACCTCTTAGTTATTGTTGCAGTTGTGATTAGGATCTGCTTTCCTATCCCATCTTCTAATTGGTTAATATTAGTGTATGAGAATGCTAGTGATAGTCATAAAGTCATCATGTATACAGAAGTCTTTCTGAATGCTTTTATTAATACTAATCATTTTTTGATTCTCTTGGGTTTTCTATGTGAATAATTATCTTTATAAAGGCAATTGTCTTTTCTAATTATACATTTTATTTCTTTTTCTTCTCTCAATGAATTAGGACCTGCACTACAGTGTTTAAGAGATACAGTGATATTGCATTCTTTGTTTCTGATTTTAGTGGAAACGATCATGAAGATAAAGATTGTAATAAAATGATAGTCAGTATTTGCATGCTTGCCGTGTGCCACAAATGCACTGTTCTGTATGCTTTGCACACATTATATAGTTGAATCCTCCCAATGACCATGTAAAGTAGGCTGGTTGTTGTCCCTGTTTTATATATGAAAAAACTGAGGCACAGAAATGATGTAACTTTTATAGCTTTCACTATTAAATGTGATATTTGCTGTGGTATTTTGAAAGATATCTTTCATCAAGAGCCCCTTTTATTAGTCTTAGTTTGTTAATAAGACTTTTGTTTTGTTTTTGTTTTCGTTTGAGACAGAGTCTCACTCTGTCACCCAGACTGGAGTGCAATGGCGCGATCTTGGCCTACTGCAACCTCCGCCTCCTGGGTTCAAGCAGTTCTCCTGCCTCAGCCTCCTAAGTAGCTGGGATTACAGGTGCATGCCACCACACCCGGCTAATTTTTTGTATTTTTAGTAGAGACGAAGTTTCACCATTGTTGGCCAGGCTGGTCTCAAACTCCTAACCTTGGGTGATCCACCTGCCTCAGCCTCCCAAAGTGCTGGGATTACAGCTGTGAGCCACTGCACACAGCCTAATTAAAAATCACGCATGAGTGTTTTATTTTCTTGAATGCTTATTTTCTGCATATGTTGAGAAGACAGTTTTTCCTCCTTTAATCTACTGATGTGGTAGATTACATGAATAGATAGATTTCTGATATTGAAGTGTTCTTGTGTTCCTGTGCTAAACTTTACTTAATTATGAAGCATTTAAAAAAAATTTATTTAGAATTAACTTTACTAGTATTTAACCTATGAATTTTGCATTAATGTTTAGAAGTAAAATAGATCTTAGATTTTTTTTTGTACTATCCTCTTATTCTGGTATCCAAGGCTATACTAGCTACATAAAATAAACTGGGTACTTTTCCTTCTTGTAATTTTTGAAACTGCGAATGAGATTTCATTTCCTGAGAGTTAGATACCAATCATTTACAAAACCATCTGGATATGGCAAGACTTGATTATGGAATTAGTTTTTATAATTTAAAAACAATTATTGATTTATTCAAGCGTCCTGTATTTTCTGTCAATTCCGGTCATTTTTCTAGACCATTATGTTTCATCTGAGATGTCAGATTTACCAACCTAAGGCAGTATTCTCTTGATTTTAAAAGAAGGTTTCAGTTTTATCAAAGTAGGTCATGCCTGAGGTTTAAAGAGTAAAATAATGTGGTGAAACCATAAAGAAAGTGAAGGGCATGATAAACATAAAATTCAGGATATTGATTATCTGAAAAGAAAGAAAATGAAATGGGCATAGGAAGAACTTCAAATATAACTATAATTTGTTTTTAATGGGTGGTGGATATACAGGTATTATTTTTAGTGTTACTATTCTTTATAATTTACATATATTTTACAAAACTTATTTACAGTGTTTCACTATGGAAGGTTAAGATTGAACTCATCATGCTGCTCCTGTCACCCACCCAAAGGCATGCCTATGTACATAGACTTCTTGTTTCCCCATAGTCCCAATGTGATTAGACCATAAATTTGTTTTCTATCAGTACTATTGTTTACAATATGACTATACAGTTAGCTCTCTGTATCTGCAGACGATTGGTTCCAGAACCTCCATGGATACCAGAATCCATTGATACTCAAGTCCCTGATATAAAATGGAATGGTATAATCGGCCCTCCATATGTGTGGGTTTTGATCCTTGGTTGGTTGAATCCACAGATGTAAAACCCATGGATACAGAGGGCTGACTGTATGTATAAATACTATCCACAGCCAAGACACATAGTAACCTATGATTAATTTACCTTCCCTTCATAACTGTATTCCTTATGGTTAATAAATGTTTTTGAGACAGAATCTTGCTGTGTCACCCAGGCTAGAGTACAGTGGTACAGTCTTGGCTCCCTGCAGCCTACAACCACAAACTCCTGGGCTCAAGCAATTCTCCCACCTCAGGCTCCTGAGTAGCTGGGACTACAGCTGTGCACCACTACACCCAGCTAATTTTTTTTTTTTTTTATAGAGATGGAGTCTCACTATGTTGTCCAGGCTGGTCTCAAACTCTTGGACTCAAGTCATCCTCTCGCCTTGCCCTCCCAAAGTGCTGGGATTACAGGAGTGAACCACTTGGCTTGTTTTATTTCTTTCTCCATGTGCTTATTACCAGTTGTCTAGAGTGACTCTGAGCGTATCTGGAGATATCAAGGGTTTCCTTTGTGTCATATCCCTGAGTTTTTCTGAAGCCTTCTGACCTGCTCTCATCTGGATGAATTACCCTCATTCCTTCTTGTGCAGCTACCATCCTGACATTGCTCTTCAGTGTCTGGGGATTCCCTTCACCTTCTACATTGTTGGGTTCCATATTTTCTATATGCCATGCCACCTTCCTCATTTGGTTGGAGCACATTCTTTAAGTACTTTCCTAAGAAAGAATGTAAGCCCATGGGAGATGAAGTTTTGAGATTTTGGGATGTCTACAAGTGTTTGATTCCTGATGCAGAGTTTGGCTTGGAGTAGTGTTCTAGGATGGAAATGTCTTCCCCTTAGACTTTGAAGACATTGCTCTATTATCATCTAATTTTCAATGTAAAGCTGTTCTGATTATTAATACTTGATATCATTTTTTTTCTCTGTTTCAGCTTATAAGATTTTACCCCCTTTACGGTGCTCTGACATATCCCCATATGAGATCATTGTCACCAGTATTTCTGGGTGCGTGATAGGAAATAAATCTTCACAGGGATAGTTCCCCCCGCCCCCCATGCAAAGCCAAGATGCTATAGGGCCAGAGAGCTGCATTGCATTTCCAAGTGGCAAGCTAGGCCTTTTTTGTTAAGCCCCTTTCACTTTGTCTGTGGGCAAGTCCAGTTTGACCCACTAAAAATAGGCACATCATACCAGAAAATTATCAGCCTCTACTGTTCGGGCATCGAGACTCCCAGAAGAAAAACAGGTGTTCAGTGCCCTAGGCAGGCAAAGCCATTATATCAACATAGGAAATATTCCACAAGCCTAAGTTCCCAGACTTTACCCAGCGGTAGCTATGTGAGCAGGCACTTCTAAAGATCAGTTCTGCTGTGTTAACACTTTCCTACATGTCACCTTTACTGGTGCTCTTTATTTCTTTATGTGGATTTGAGTTACCAGAGTGTCCTTTATTTTCTTGGAGCTGAGCTTCAAGTTAGATCAAATAGCAGCAGCAGTCTGGGGATAGGGCTTTTGGTAGAGCTCCAAAACAGGGCATCCCCTTGGGTAGCTGTGAGGCTGCCAGTTTTCATGGAGCTGGGGAGCCACTGAAGGAGCGTGAAGAGTAGTAGTAGTGCCAAGTGAACCATCACCTGGCTGTTCTTAGTGAGGTTTACTAATTTTCCTTGTTGTTTTTTTGTTGTT